GGGGTTTTACATTCACCCCCCCTTAAGAGGATTTCGTCTCACACATTAATTATATTATTCATAAATTATCGGGGTTTTACATTCACCCCCCCTTAAGAGGATTTCGTCTTCGAAATTCCACAATCGCATCTCAAAGCTCAAAAACTAGGAGAAAAACATATTAAGAAGGTGTAATTCATATTAAGAATTCCTTCTGCACACATCACATAGCATTAGCACAATGATATTTAAAGCTAACAACCTAGAATGCAAACATTCTTACCTAAATCCTTAACTAAACGAAATTGGTACGTCGAGCAAAATAATCCAAACAAGGAAACCCTCATGTATATACCATATACTTCAATTGATTAAGGATCAGGCAAAAATATCCCCATTCTAGCGTTAAAGATAAATATAAATGTGACTAAACAATCATAGATAATGATAACTATTAAGTCATATAAGCATATTAACATCATACCTGTCCAAACAGGTGCGGGTAGTCGCGACAAACATCCTCCTCGCGCTCCCAAGAAATCTCTTCGTTTCCTTGCCAGTTCCACTGAACTTTCACTAATGGAATGGCTTTATTTCTAATCTTTTTATTCTCTCTAGCAAGTATGCATACCGGTACCTCTACGGTAGTCAAGTCATCCTGAATCTTAATCTCTGGTGAATTAATCACTCTCTGCTGCTCATCATCCCGCAGATGCTTCTTAAGCATCGAAACATGAAAGACATCGTGTATACTCGATATCGATGCTGGAAGATCTAATCTATAAGAAATAGCTCCAATGCGCTCGATGATCCTGAAAGGGCCAACATATCTCGGGGTAAGCTTCCCTTGTCTACCGAATCGTTGAACGCCCTTCATCGGTGGTACTTTCAACATGACTGAGTCTCCGACCTGAAACTCTAAAGGTTGTCTTCGCTGATCTGCATAGCTCTTCTGCCGACTCTGCGCCGCAAGAATGCGCTCTCGAATCAATGCCACCTTCTCTGTGGTCTGTCTAACTAACTCTGGACCAATCAATAGACTATCCTCTGGCTCTGCCCAATATATAGGCGATCTGTAAGGTCTCCCGTACAAAGCTTCATATAGTGCCATTCCGATGGTAGGTTGATAACTATTATTATATGCAAATTCAATCAGTGGGATGTGATCCTCTCAGCTACCCTGAAAATCTATAATGCACGCTCTCAGCATGTCCTCTAAATTCTGATTTACCCTCTCGGTCTGTCCATCTGTCTGGGGGTGGAAAATACTGCTAAATGACAACTGACTGTCAGAAGCATCCTGAAAACTCCTCCAAAAATAAGATGTGAAGACTGAGCCCCGATCTGATACAATCATCTCCGGAACTCCATGCAATCTAACAATCTCCCGAATGAAGATCCTCGCATACGTATCTGCCGTATAAGTCGTCCTCACAGGTAAGAAATGTGCGGACTTAGTTAATCTGTCCACTATAACCCAAATAGAATCATTTCCTTTCTTTGACTTGGGCAACCCTACTATGAAATCCATAAAAATATCTGCCCACTTCCACTCGGGAATGGGTAAAGGCTGTAGGGTTTCTGTAGGTCTCTGATATTCTGCCTTAACTTGTTGGCAGGTATAACACTTAGCCACATAATCTGAAATCTCTCTGCGCATACCACTCCACCAAAAATGTCTCTTCAGATCCTTGTACATTTTCGTCGTGCCTGGGTGCACGGTATATCTGCTGTGATGAGCTTCGTCAAATAGTTCCCTCTTCAGCTATAAATTATTCGGCATAACGATCCTACCCTTCATCCTAAGGCCTCCATCTACTCCAATAGTCCAATCATCCTTGGGTTCTTTGGAGATCTCCCCCTTGCGGGTTTGAATCCAAGAATCCTTTAACTGAGCTCCGACTACTCTATCTCTCCAAGATGGCTGTACAGATAACGCTCCTAAGAACACACGGCTCTCGCTAATCTCTGGCCTGAAATCAAAATGGCTGAGGGTATAAAGATCCTGATATAGTGAACACCTCAAAGCTGCTAGTCCACGACGACGCTTCCTGCTCAACGCGTTTGCTACCACATTCGCCTTTCTCGGATGATACTGTATGGTAAACTCATAATCCTTAATAAACTCTACCCATCGTCGTTGCCTCTGGTTGACTTCTTTCTATGAGAAGAGGTACTTCAAACTCTGGTAATCTGTGAATAACTCAAACTGCACTCCGTACAAGTAATGTCTCCACGCCTTCAGTGCAAAGACCACTGCTGCTAGCTCCAAATCGTGCGTGGGATAATTCTGCTCATGAGTCCTCAGCTGCCTCGAAATATAGGCTATGACTCTCTGGGTCTGCATCAATACATAGCCAAGACCCGATAAGGATGCATCAGTGTAGATAACAAAAGTCTTATCACTGTTAGGAATAACCAATACTGGTGCTGAAGTCAACTTAGTCTTCAATGTCTCAAATACCTTATGGCACTCTATGCTCCAAATGAACTGTACACCCTTCTTAGTAAGGCGTGTAAGTGGTGTGGCAATCCTCGAGAAATCCTGAATGAATTTTCTGTAATAGCCTGCCAAGCCTAAGAAGCTACGAATCTCGGTAACTGTCTTCGGTGGTTCCCAATCAAGTACGGCTTCTACCTTGCCGGATCCACTATAATGCGCTCCCGGCTAATAACATAGACCAAAAATCTGACCTCTGATAAACAGAATTTACACTTGCTAAACTTAGCATACAACTGGTGCTCTCTCAATATCTGCAATGCTAACCTCAAATGCTGCTCGTGCTCTGCCTCCGACCTCGAGTAGATAAGAATATCGTCGATGAAGACTATCACAAACTGGTCCAAGTACGGACGAAAAACCTAATTCATCAAATCCATGAATACTGCGGGTGCATTGGTCAGCCCAAATGGCATGACAAGAAACTCGAAAGACCCATATCGAGTCAAGAAAGCGGTCTTAGGAATATCCATCTCCCGAACTCGCAACTGATGATAACTGGAATGGAGATCTATCTTCGAGAAACACTATGCTCCCTGCAACTGGTCGAACAAGTCATTGACCCGCGGTAATGGATACCTGTTACGGATAGTGACCTTGTTCAACTCGTGATAATCTGTACATAATCGCATACTCCCATCCTTCTTCTTCACAAAGAGGACCGGTGCTCCCCACGGAGAATGACTCCATCGAATGAAGCCCTGAGACAACAACTCATCGATCTGGATCTGTAGCTCCCTCATCTCAGCAGGCGCCATACGGTAAGGAGCTCGGGAAATTAGTGCGGTGTCTGGCTGCAACTCTATGCAAAACTCGACCTCTCTTACTGGAGGTAATCCTGGTATGTCGTGGAAGACATCCTGGTAAACTGAGACTACTCGCATCTCACTCAAATCTGCGCTCCGATAGCGTAATATCGCCTCCTCTACGTACGCCAGAAATGACTCCACAAACTGGTTACCTCTGGAGGTAGCTACCACTAACTCTGATCCATCATATGCTCTCAAACTGACTGTTTTTGCAAAACAGTCGATACTCACATAGTAGGAAGATAGCCAATCCATACCAAGAATCACATCGAATTCAAACATATGCAACACGATCAAATCAATCGTGAACTCAGAATCGTCCAAGCTGGCGATGCATCTCCTACAAACACTCTCTAACAGAGATATCTCTCCCAATGGAGTAGATACAGATAATGGGAAATCTAACGGCTGAGCTACAAGCCGAAGTCTAATCGAAAAATCATAGGAGATAAAAGAATGTGAAGCGCCAGAATAAAAAAGAATACGTGTTGGAAAGGAATTCACACGGAATGTACATTCCACCACAGCTCCGCTAGCACCATGATCGTGACGTACCACTGCATACACTCTACCGGTCTGCTGCTCTGCATCACCTGGAGTGAATGGTGCCATCTGCCTCTGCTGGGTCTCCTGGACTGCTTGAACCTGTCCCTCAATCCTCGGGACTGCTGGAGGTGTCTCTATCCTCAGCTACTGGCCTTGACCGCGTCCCGAAGCGCGGTTCTGCTGCTGCTGCTGTGTCCTGCCCTGCTGGCCTGCTGCGGGTGCGCTGCGGCACTCGGCCGTTCGGTGCCCAATCTTGTTACAATTGTAACAAGCTCTCTGGAATCGGCGCTGCTGCTACGCTCTCTGGTCCTGCTGATGACCCTTCTTATGGGGACCCTGCTGATGTGGACCCTTACCCTGCTGGTGGGGTCCTCCTGAGCCTCCAAATGGTCTCTTTCCTTTTCCTTTGTCCTCGGACTACCCTGACTTACTATTGTCCTTGCCCTTGTTGAATATAGCTGTATCAGTCTCCTGAGCCATGGCAGCATCTGCCACCTCTCGCACTGAACAAAACCTCCGAGATACTATGTACCGGCGCAACCCCGGATGAAGTCCCATTAAGAACATCTGAGCCTGACGCTCCTCTGTGTGCCACATACCGGTGAACCTAAGCAATGACATGAACTTACTCTCAAAGTCCATGACAGACATATCTCCCTACTCTAGACGAGCCAGCTCTAACTCTTTACCGGCTTTCGCTACAGCCGAAACATACTGCTCATCAAAAAGATATATAAAGGTCTCCCACGAAATCGTCATCCTCTGCTCTGGGGTAAAGCGAAGCCTATACCATCCTCCTGCATCGCCTTTGAGGCTGAAAGTCGCTAGCCTCTGCTTCTGCACCGAATTAACATTTAGCATATCCAAGATGTTACTCACATCCTCTTTCCACTTGTGTGCAGCAATGGAATCCGTCGAACCATGGAACTTAGGTGCTTTTAACTTCTGATACCTCTCAACTAAACGAAGCCAAGCCTCTTGATCAGCTACTCCGTTATCAACTGGTAGTGTCGGTGGGACCACTGGTGCCCTCTCTGGTATTTCCTCCCGAATAGATGACTCCTGAATGGGTGCCTCTTCATGAACAGAAGGCTCTTGACGAACCTGGGCTGCTAACTGCTCCTCAATAGCTGCCATACGAGCTGCCAATGGTGCTATGAGATCCACTAGATACTGCGGAGCCTACTGTGGTTTGGGCTCCCTATCTTCCTGCTCAACTCCCTTAGCGCGAGAAACTCGGCGTCCATGACCTCTTCCTGACATCTATAATTCCAAAGTAGAGCTTATTACGCAGTAAATTGGATCTCAAGCATGAATGATATAACATATACCAATAAGTAAATCGTATCACATATATCTCATATCATGCTTTATTATTCAAAGCAAATAGATTATCACAAAAAAAAAATATTAGATTTTTCGCGTACATATATAGTACGTCCTCACTCATGCTAAGGATTCCTAGCGGACTGTATACATGATCCCTAAGAAACTCTAACCTAAACTCCACAATATGACACATGAATGATCATAAGGATATTGGAACCTGGCTCTGATACCAACTGTGACGCCCCAGGGTTCACACAAGGCTGCAGTCCCAGGTGAAACCCGGATTATCAAACATACCAAGCACCAAAAACCATGCTACGACATGTTTCACCATCACAATCGTTATCTCTCTAGTGGAAACAATAAATAGATGAAGGTACAGACTGGCAAAACTAGAAATAGAACAACACCGAATATACACAGAAGAAGCACAAGAAATATTAATAATGAGCCCAACTGCAATAAAATAGATATATCTCTGAGTCTGAACTAAATCTCAAATACATTGAGTCAAATAAACAAAGTCTTACAATAGCTCTCAACTCTATGAAATAAAATACCAATCTAGAGTCTGAAAATAATCAACTACATGTGGAGTTCTGCAATAACTACAAAATATAATAAATAGCTAAACGGACAACTAAGATATCCCATCAACCTGCGACTCTCCGTGCGCCGGACTCGCTGCCTGAAAGAGGGGAAACAACGAGCGTCAAAGTGCTAGCGAGATCATCACTACCTCTCCCCAGGGGAAAGGGTAGGAGTATATAGATAACTGCCGTCCATAACGGGTGTACCAAAAATCTCAAAGTAAAAACCCTACTCACGGGTAGTCTATCATGGAAGTAAAACTTATAACTGATCAAACATCTATGTGTGCAATCATCTTGTGCTATAGCGATACTCTTGTAATGCTCTTACTCAATCGCTCTGCGGCAATAGGTTTTATTATCTCCCTATTCTGGATACGTGTAATAACGATACTTTTGTAATACTCTTACTCAATCGTTCTGCGACAAATAGGTTTCATCTCCCTATTTCCGGATACGTATAGAACAACCTTATTCATATGTGTTTATCAAATTAACTCATGTCAAAAGTGTGTCAATCTAACACAATCTAGCATACATGCATAAAATCTCAGTGTACGTGACCACATCTGAAGTTCAATATCATTCCAGGTGTTTAACATTCATTAACATCATAGTCTATCATCATAAGGTCGAGAGATTTGCTCGACAAACCAATTTCAACCCTTATAAACATGCACAGTCAAAAACAAACTGGCGGTCGACCGTCACGGTCGACCGCCACGGGCTCAAGAGACTACCCAGGTCTCTGTCCTGCACGCGGTCGACCGTGAACCCTGATTCCAGATTCTTAATTTTTTTTATATGTCATGTTCACATCGTGTTTTTGTGATTCAAACATGATTAAATCTTCATGAAACTTGTATGCAAATATGTCACAGCGGATATGAACATTTGGAAACAACTCAACAATTATAAACATGATTTTATACATTAGATTTGTATTCAAAACCCTAAAAACATGCATAAAAGCTAAAAACAACAAATCAAACTTCTTTCTTTAGATTAACCATGTTTTAAAATTATCTTCATGTCTTAAATACTTCTATAAAAAAAATCGTTCTCAGCCTTTTTAGCAGAGAAAGACCTAGTCTCTTTACATATAATACAAAAGAAGTTGACTTTATTCATAAACTAGTCATTTAGGCTCTACAAAACATGTTTAAAACTCTTTAAAAATATTTTGAAAACTAGGAGGGGGATTAGCAGAGATGATACTCGACTGGGGTTGTAGGAAAACGTGTTAGAAGCAAGGTTAAAAAGATCTCCACTCCAAAAGCCATGAATCACCCGAAAATCCACTTGAAAGCCTTTAATCTTCTCCAAGAAATCAAACTAGGGTTTTGGGGGTTTTGGTGGATGTTAGGGTTTTTAGGAAAACTGAGAAAAACGTGAAAAACTCATATATATATATATATACATTTCCAATACTCATGTGTTTGGCCATTTGTGCATGTTTCAACTCTTTTCTCTCTCATGTATGAACTCGTTCATACTCAAAACACATGGTATTATACTCATATACCATTAAATGATATTTATCATACTAAATATCCACATATCATAATTTATCACACATTAATTATATTATTTATAAATTATCGGGGTTTTACAAAAATCCTGAAACCTGTCTCACCACAAATCTCAATACCCGCAAAGAAATGAACACCGCACCATTGATGGCGTCGTCGTTCTGAAGACAACAGCGTTTGAATCACTACAATATAACAAGCTATCAAGAATCTCAATTTCTCTCTCTTTTTCTCTCTCCATGGCCCCGAGAACAACGCCCCTTCTCTCTTTTATGCTTTCTGGTTCTTGTGCAAAAGTTGATTATAGGGTGATGTCCATCATGTGCCCCCATACTTTCCTTTAATAAAGGAAATTATCTCTAGGTCCTTCAAACCTATTCCAATTACAAATAGGTCCATATAAATCCTTTTCTTAATAGGATTCAACCAACTTGACCTCATCCTTATGGTTTTCTTAATAGGATTCAACCAACTTGACCTCATCCTTATGGGCCCCGATTGGGCTGGACTCATAACAATTTTTACCATTTTCTTGCTATTATGTACTAAATATGACTACTGTCTTATATTATTATTAGAAATCGGTGAATTCAACAATTTGACAAAAGGATATTGTTCAGAGAGCTAGTAGGATGTTCCATTAATGGGAATTAATATATAGCACTAAACATTCTTCACACTTCACATAAGCTCTTTTAACAAAATGATGTGTTAAGAGATATTTTCACATGCATGTATCACTGTATAATATAAAAGCATGTATCACTATATAATATAATCTCCAAGAGTAAAGCTGTTGTCTTTAGAAGCACAGAGATCATAGGACATAATACAACGACATATACATCATTTTTTTTGGTCAATGAATTAAAAATTTTATTCATCTCCCAAATTTTGAAAGTGTAAACACATCAAATCATTACCAGTTCATCTCTAGTAAGAATAAAAAAAAACAGACTGTTTCTTACATTTTTCCTATTTTATCCTTTATATGTTCAGGAATATTTTCATTTAGCACCTTTGATAAGATTGTAGTTTTCACTTCTCTGACTAACTGAGCAGGTGTATGGAGCTTTCCTTGAAAGATTCTTAAGTTCCTTTCCTTCCAAATCCAATAGACAGTAGCCGACAATGTCATTCTCTTCATCTTCTTCATGAATCCCTTTCCTTTCAAATTTGTACTGTACCAGTTCATAACTTGATCCCAGTTGCATGATCTCCATGAGTAGTCTAACCATTCCATCATTTCATTCTAAATATGTGCTGAATACTGACATTCAAAAAATAGGTGCTTACATGTTTCTTGTTGAGCTGAGCAAAAGATACATCGATTTTCATTTAGCATTCCAATCTTGCATAATCTGTCCTTCGTCAGTAGCCTGGAGAGGGTGATTAGCCATAGTATAACTGAATGTTTAGGATAGTGCAAGCCTCTCCAAATTGTATCCGACCATGTGGCATAAGTTGCTGAAAGGGTCAGAGCATTATATATAGCTGATATCTGTAATTTTCCATTTACATGACAGTTTTCCATAGCTCTTTGAAGATTGTTTCTATCACCAAATTTGCTAAGTGCCATATCTCTTACTTTGAGTAATTGCCTCCACATCCAAGAATTAGTTCCTTTTGATTGAACCTGCCATATATCCAGTTGGTGTATGTAATTTTCATGCACCCATTTAATCCACAATATATCTTTTTTAATGTGAATCATCCATAGCAATTTGATTGCAGCTGCATGATTCCAATCCTTTGCAGTATATAATCCCAGACCTCCCATTTTCTTATCTTTGCATATATCATACCAAGAGACTAAATGTATCATGCAGTTCCATAAGAAGTCAGAGCACAGTTTATCAATTCTTTGTAGAACCTTGATGGGTAACACATAGTAATTACTTGTCCAGTAATTCTGTATCCCTACAATGACAGATTTAATCAACTGAATTCTTCCAGCATAAGATAGATTCCTTCTGTTCTGCCATCCTTGAAACTGTTCTGAAATTTTGCTTAACAATGGTGAGCAGTCTAGATGAGTAAGCTTTTTTGAAATCAAGGGCATCCCCCAGTACCTGACTGGGATAGAGCCTTCTGAGTAATTCAGGTGAGAACACATATACAGCATTGCATGTGCTTATAGTATCAGTTAGTAAACAGGAGAGTATCTGAAAAGGAAACAAGTCTCCATTTACTTTTCCTTTTTTATGTAGAATTGTACTTACGTTAATTAAATGTTGTCTCTCCAAATAGAGAACATAAAATAGCAAATTCAAACAAGGCTTTGTGATACCAAATAAAACTATGTTATAAGAGTCTTCTGTTTTCTAATTTATGCGTAGTTCTGAATCAGTAGAACACATTCTTGAGCAAGTTCAAACAAGGTTTTGTAATATATTCCACCAATGTTAACTATATACGTGATATAGGTGTATTCTACAAGTTTCTAGTGCATGTCCAGTAGCAGATTAAAGCATCATAATTAACACCTCTTGTTTTCTTTTTCCTGAATCTACTGTTAAGATGAATTAATTAGCCACAAATAATGTCAACATAGGTGACTATTCCCGATTTTTTTTACAAGCTTCTAATAAATGGAGTTATTATCATGAATCCATGCATGATCATATTTTTACGTTTTGCTCTTTGAAATTTTCTCCCAAAGGCCTTCTATATGAGTTTGCTTCATCCCCTATACATGGCTCTTTTGTTAGTTTTGTTATCAGTTCCTTTCGAATTTGGTATCCTTCCTCTCTAATTAAACTGGAAAATTAATTAAACGATATGATATAGTCAATACAGTACATAATATAATCCATATCTTAATATATAACTGCTCATAAAGGTACATCATCCGTCATTTATTTGTTTACAATGCATTATTGCACATATGTAGATATCTATCATGATCACGCTTCAAACTCCATGCTTCAGAAATCCTACTACAATATGCCATGCATGCTTATAAGTTAAAATGCCTATACATATGTAGTTATTTGTTCTTCGACGCCACTGTCCATTAATTTTTAGCAGCATGCATGTGGACTTGGTGGACCGAATTCTGGTGGTCGATGGCGAAGCTCCGAATTTATATCGTAACCAACTGTTTCGGGATTCTCAAAATTTCCACGATCAACCTGCCCTTGTGTCGCGCCTGCGTTCTTGATAGCTGGTATTTCATCAATCAACACCTTCCTTGGCATCCCCAAGCATGAGCTTACCAAACTGAGCCCCAGAACAAGAATGACCAAAGCCTTCATTCTTCTTCTGCTAGTGCCTAGTTACAAAACAAATACCGAGTTAATAATCACGTTTCCATAAGTAAAAACTGAGCAAGTTACGTGATTATTACAGTTGAAGGGAAACTCTGTCTGAAGTTTTGGTTAACTTAGCAGGAGGATGAATGCTATTTATAATTAGATAAGATGTAAAGCATTTAACTATTGATTCCCCACTAATACAGTAATACGCGACAATTTCCAGTGGAATGAGCAAAATCTTCGATAGAATCTTCTCAAATGAACTTTTATACTGTAAATATGATATGGGGGGTTTATCCTGTAAGATATACACTAGTATTCACTGTGTACCTTGTAGGTTACTATATATTAGCTAATTGATTTAATTAATAAAATTTGAAGGATATATCATTTGATAGTTGACATATATAAAATTTAAATATTCTTTATTGAGATTTTGTTATGCCTTGGAGTTACTTAACTAGTTGAAATTAAGTACAAATTGAGATGAAATCGAACAGCTTATGTTACTGAGCCCTTTTTGTTCCATAAATTGAAAAAGGGCTAATTGACAGATAGATTCCCCGTACTATTGCCAAATTGCAAATAAACCCCAATGTACTTCTACTGTTGCTGATATACCGCCTGACTTCTCAACTTTGTTAGTTTTCCCATTTAAATTAGTTTGTACAATGATCATTATGTAAATTTATAATAAAAATCTGTTTATAGTAACCAAATTGCCAAATTGGTTTTTAGTTTTTTGTTTTTTTTCTTGAAACGTACTCTAGTCACCATAAGTATATGTCTAAGGCTGGCTTTGGTCCCTAGTTGTATCGATGTTTAGAAAGAATGACGACTAAGACCCTCTCTTCTCCCTCATGGATAATGCTGGGGAGAAGGTATTTGTTTGTACCTCTATAATTATGGAACCTTAATTTCACTAAGAAAACAACCTGGACACTATCTCGTGCCTTTTCTAAGACTTTTAATGATCTGCTTTCTTATCTTTGAAAAAAATTGAACAGGAATTTTATCCCTTGTTTTTCTGTCAAAAAAGGGTTTACGAAGCTCATATGTTTCAGTTCGTGAATCCCAACCTTAATGTGAAATTGACGACCTTAACGTGAAAGTAATGAGGGGTTGAGAGTTCAGGGGGCTTATCTGCAACAATAGAAATAAAGGGGCTCTATCCGCAATTTGGTGTTAGTACAGGGGGTCTGTCCGAAATTAACCCAGATCGATTACATGCTGCGATCGAGTATACTCATGGCATGGTAAGCCTTTGCATCCGATAAACAAGAAACAAAAATAAGGCTAGTTGGTAGGAATTATGCCTAGATTCAGCAGTTTCTACTACCATATTATTGCTAATCCGAACTTTTATCTGATTTGAGAAACTTGCCATCATCTTTTGCATCCGACTTTGGTGCACTGGCCATTAAAAGGTTTCCCAATTGCCAATCCACTAACCCTTTGCCCGCTAAGTTCCTCTATAAGTAGCTTCCAGTGAACCATAAATTAATATATCTTCAGCTGTTCACGCCTATTTTGAAGGGGTTTTCCTTGTTTTTTCCCCCTGTAATTCCAGTATTATTTTTTTCTGTTCCCTATATTTTAGTCAAATCCTTATCCTCCGGCCCTGTAAAGTTCACAGCTAGCTACCCTAGACTCCTGACAAGATATCAATGATAATCAGAATGTGTAATTAACCAGAAATCAAAATTTACTCTGTAGCTTGCCATATTTTTCGTAGAGTTTTATTGCATGAATGTGGTTTGTATTTACCCTGTCATTGTGTGTCCCTGGTAATGGAAAAGTTGTTCGCATATGAAATGTACCTTTGATTCATTTTCCTTATACTTCCGTCTCCTGATTTCTTATCATTTCTTCCTTTTATTCATTAGGTGTGCCATCTCGTCTTCAACGTGGTCTCTTATTCTTCCACAAGTTCCCTCAGCTGTTCGGCCTTGCAACCTGGAAGATATGATCTTCCTTAATTTTAATTCAGCCCTAATCAGGACATTATTTCAATTTGGAGAGTCCTCTTACCGTGCTTCTGTTGGTGCATATGGAATAGCCGAAATAATCTCATCTTTAATGGAATAAATGTATGTCATCATCGCATCGCCTCTAACGTCGCTAGAAATGTGCTATTTTGGACAGGCAACTCTGCTACTAAAATTGGTTCCAAGCTCCATAAGGCGGCCATCAACTTGGGTATGAATCACATTGCACAAGCAAACAGCGACGCGGATGTGGGTGATAACTTCTCAACAGTAGGTTGATTTCAATGGTCATTCCTCCTTTCCCTGTCTCTCCGTTCTGACTTTTGGGGAAGCTGCCTGTCTAGCCTGTAGACAAGTAGACTTTCTGACTATTTTTGAAGCTTTAGGTAGTTTTGGTTGATGCTTGCTCTAGTGTTTTTAGAGAAGCAGGTTACCTTTAGCTAAGCTGGTTTTTCCATGTTCTCAGGTGAAACTTTTATTAGTTGTTATGGTTATGTAATTACTTCCTAGAACATGTACTATATATATTAATATATATGCAGGGCATCTCACCCTGTTTTCAGTCAAAAAAAAAAAAAAACACTTCAAGAGAGTATTTCTAGACCTGTGCAGTACTCCACATAAGGTGCCCTTCAGAATGAATTCCAGGGAGCCAGAAATAACATAAAAATTTCATAGTCCATTACAAAATTTAGCATCGCTGAGATGATACTTTAGTCAATTAGAAAAATGCTATAAGGATGCTCAACTTTTGTCATATACTTGAGTAGAAAACTGTTATATGTAAAAAGGGTGCAATTGTAGCGATATTCTATTAGAGCTATAGTTATTGAATCAATGTTTACTAAACTGTCATGTAACAAGGCTCCAGCAGCATCAAAACAGTCAATTTTTATGTTGCGGTTGGTGTTTGATTATTCTCTGCTCACCTTTGGAAAATGTCACTATTGAAACTGACAATTCAGGTAGCTGAAATGAAGATAAATAGTTTAAATGATTAGCTCACCTTTTTTTTTTTTTTGGTCATGAACTAAAATTTTATTCATTTTCCAAATGTAACGTTGAAAAACATCAAAATACTAGATAAAATGGTAATAAAAAATGAAAATTATATTTTCTCAAGCAATTCTTTCATATGAACATGTATACTATCATTCAAAACTTTTGTATAAACTGAAAACTTGATTCCTCAAACAACCTGACATGGCCCCCTCATTTTACCTTGAAATATTCTTAAGTTTCCCTCTAGCCAAATTATATAAACTGTAGTTGAAAGAGTCATCCTCTTCAACTTCTTCATGAGCCCTCTACCTTTCAAATTACAAAAATACCAATTTATGAGTTGATTCCAATCACATGATCTCTAGTTATATCTCAACCATACCATCACCCTGTTCCATATGTCAGCTGAGAACTGACATTCAAAGAAGAGATGATTTCTTGTTTCCTATTGATGCCTACAACACAGAACACATTGGTTTTGGTTTATGTTCAATAGAGTCGTAGCCACTGAAGAGGGAAGAAACCATTTTGCATCGACTTGGAGTATCAAGAAAAAAGTTGCAAGAAGTAGATTTTATAGGATTTCCAATCCTTGCATTTCATTTGTAAGTAATTAATAACATTACCGTAAAAATTGTTAAGATTTTTAATTGATTCTTTCATATCTTATAATTATATTCCAACTGAATAAAAGAGAGTACAACTGATAAACAGAAATAAAAGTGAAATGTCTCAATACAAAAGAGTAAACTGAAATAGTACTAAGGCACTTAGCCTCAAAAAAATGAAATACAACTCAAGAAATCAACTAAAACAACTACTAAGATAATATGGAGCAATAACTAGATATCACAGAACAACGGTGACTATGTAGGAAC